CCCTTGTGACTGGCAGCGTGATGACGCTCTTCCCCTTGTGACTTGCAGCGTGATGACGCTCTTCCCCTTGTGACTTACAGCATGATGACGCTCTTCCCCTTGTGACTTACAGTGTGATGACGCTCTGCCCTCGTGACTTACAGCGTGATGACGCTCTTCCCCTTGTGACTGGCAGCGTGATGATGCTTTTCCCCTTGTGACTTACAGTGTGATGACGCTCTGCCCTTGTGACTTACAGTGTGATGACGCTCTCCCCTTGTGACTTACAGCGTGATAACGCTTTTCCCCTTGTGACTGGCAGCGTGATGACGCTTTTCCCCTTGTGACTTACAGCGTGATGACGCTCTCCCCTTGTGACTGGCAGTGTGATGACACTCTCCCCTTGTGAGTATTCTGTCATGATGCTGTCCACTTTTGTCTTGCAGCGTGCATCAGCAAACATGGGTCTCCGTATACCAAAAGCCCAGATTTTGTCTCATGTGTTCAAAGTAAGTCTGTTACTGTCATCTTCCCTGGAGCATCTAAGTGTGGGTGACTGTGCGCTTTGCTTGGGTTTGTGGGAGGGTCTTGAATATTTCTGCTGTTTTAAGGAACTCCATCCTCGGGGCTATTCCCTTTTCCTAAATTTTCTTTTTTAAGCAAGTAAAATTTTTTTTTTAAAGCAATAAGTGCACATGGTATAAAATTCAAACATTTTACAAGAATGTTATGTGAAAGTATGTCCCTGCCTCTGGGTCCTCCAGCGGGGGCCTGCCACTCTCAGTTCTGAGAGTTCCCTGAACACGTGTCAGTAGGCTTCTGTTTTCACACCCAGGGTGGCTTAGTACCAGAGTTAGAGCGTGTTTTTACAATGGTTTGTTATGGAGCCTCCATCCTGCCAGTGTGTGTGGTCAGGGCCGTGTTTGCAGGTGGGCTTAAGCCGGCAGTGTTGTCAGTCACCCAGGTCACTCCCAGCTCCTGCTGGCAAGACGACCTTTTCTGAGGTCAGAGTGCAGGGTGGACCCACGCAACTTTTCCTTATGCTCTAGAGCCTGCTTTAGCAGCCTGGCTGGCAGGCGGGGAATAAAGAGGATGTACATCCCCAGCTCTATCCACCAAAGTGTCTTTTCAGCTTTTTGATCATCTTCTAAGACAACCAATCAAAGGTAACATCCAGCTTTAGTTTGCTTTTCTTACTAATGAGTGAAGCTAACTACATGTATCTAAGAATCATGTCTTTTCTTTTCCTGTGAACTGTTTGTTCATATCCTTTGCCCATTTTTCTCTATTTGTAGGAATTTGCAAATTGGCCACCTGTACTAAAGGTAGCAAAATTTTCTCTCTGCTTATCACAGGTCTTCATTAATAGTACTGTGTGCATGTGGTCACGATGACATTGACTTTTCTTTCTTTTTTTTTTTTTTTTTGAGAACAGAGCTCAAGCTGTCCCCCTGGGTAGAGTGCCGTGGCTTTACAGCTCACAGCAACCTCCAACTCCTGGGCTCAAGCGAGTCTCCTGC